GTCAGAAAGGTGAGACGTGCAGTACGCCGACATTTCAAACAATTTGGAAAGGGTCGTGGTAAAGGGGGTCGCAGACGCCGTATGCATGGTAGGGGTATTACTGCTTTCCTCACGTCCTTAACTGATATGGCTTTTGAAGAAGTTCTTATCGGAGGCAAAGGTCGGGGTCACAGGCGGACCTCCGGTAAGGGAAAAGGGCGGAGGGGCAACCCTAGGGACGCTTCTGGTAATACTATGAAGTGTCATACATGCGGTAGCACAGAGCATTTGCGCGATCAATGCCCGAAGGGGAAAGGAAAGGGATCCGTACATTTGGCTCAAAACTCTTTTATGGATGACATAGATTACATTGACTACGAGTTTTACGTCAATCCAGAAGCGGCTCCCGCTGCGGGCTCCTCCACGTATTACGTGATGGCCCGCTATGCTGAAGCAACTGTGGCCCTGGAAGACTACGCAGTGACCCTCTTCGACGAGTTCCACGGCTGGGACGAGGTCGATGAGATTGCGTACAATGCTTGGTTCGGTCTTCCAGCGGGGCCACCCGCCGGTGACGAGGTCTCCGAAGCCGAGACTGTCCCGGCAACAGAGGAAGAACTCACCGCCGCGCTGGCCCCACAAGTGATTGGCATGCCGTTGCTGCCAAATCCGTCGTGGGCTGGCTCGGAGATGGGAGACGCCGATGACGAAATGCGGGGCCATCCCGCGGATTCCGACTCCGAAGAATCCGAAGAAGATTATAACGACATGCTCCAGGAGCAGGTTTCAGAAGCAATCCGACTCTTGAGTGCGCCAGCACAGCAGCAGATGACGATGAACGAATTGCTGTCGCACCCAGGAGTTGCCCGTCTACGTCCATACTTGGATTCGAACATGTCAGCATCTCAGATGCTTAAAGCACTCCAAGCTCTAGCGGGGTCACCCGCCGAAGAGATGCTAGACACAACAGCGGGGCCACCCGCTTGGTCTATGGATGTATTCATGCAAGGTTGCGATCAAATGAACATTAACGACCTCTCGATGGAGCAGTTAAATGACATCGGATACTTCAGAAGCCCGTATCAAAACGTGTTCATGGTCCAGGACAGCTCAGAGGACTCGGAGGACATGCGGTACGCCAAGAGGGACAGGCGACCGTCGCCTCCCCGAGACT